TGGATATGCCAGGGCTTATACTGGGACCTTTCCATATGCTCTGAAAGAATCCTTCTTGACCTAGGACTGCAGGAAGGGAAACACTCTGTGGTCTCTGCCATCAGCCAGGGGACTAAGTACCAGTTGGAGATTCCACTGCTTGTTTCCAGGGAATCACATCACAGTGAAGGGAAGACCTGCCTGGCCCCTTCCATTTGTCAGAGAAGAAAAAGCTGTAGGAGCCTTGCTTTCTTCCTCCCTGTCAGAAGCTGTCCAAATAAGCACAGTGTACTAGAAAACCCTTGTCCACTCACAAAGACCTCTAAAAATTAGCAAGATAGAACTTTCATTAGCAGAAGCCATGTTGATTAATTCTCAGCAGGGCTTATTCTTCTATCTGTTTACTTTTTTATGCTTCTGACCAATTTACTAGGATCACACATATGCTCACTTGCCGGTAATTTTCCCAATCCATTCTGGATCCCTTCTTAAAACTGGCATTACATTGACCATTTTTCAGTCCTCTTGTACAAGAGGGGTAATCTTAGGACATGTGACATGTTTTATTAGGAGATCAGTGATTATTTATTTGGAAGATTTATATCCTGGCTTTTAGTTAAATTATCTCCAAGGCCATTTAATATACTGCAACAATAGGCAAAAACAATGTAGCAACCTCAACTCCTTAACTAGTGGAGTGAGAATCTGCTTCCAGTCATATTTGCAGTCTAAATATTCTTTCTGACAGGAAAGAGGAAAGTAAGGTTCCCATTCAATCAGTCATTGAAAGCATGTTCAGGGTGCCAATCAGGTAATGATTCATCATTGGGACTGTTACCACCTGAAAATATAAGGTACATGTTGCCTGCACAAATTCCTTGAAGCAAAGCATGTTCTAAGGTCAATAATAAATTGCTGAAGAAATGTATCAGTTTTCATAGTTAATTTCTTCTGTGCCTCTAAGCTGTAATCCCTACAAAAGTGCTGAAAGTTTGTTTTGGAGTTTCTGCATACTGTTTTTTTTAATAATCAAAACCCAAATGTAAATATTGTGCGGAAAAGAATGGGAAGCATGTAAGAAAATAACAAATGTATGTGGAAAAAACCAAAAAGGTGAGTATAAACATTCCAGGATTGTATTGCTACATTTTTATCAGGTCTTCTAGAAGCCAACCACATGGCATTGCTCTAAAGGAAGACCTGGTTGAATAACCTAGGTAGCAGAAATAATTGCTGGAGGGTCTATAGCTGGCTACTCTGAGCATGAGCTACATTTTAGAATATAGGGACAGCTGAGGCAAACTCTCAATGAGTTTCATGGCATTTATTCCAGTCTCTTTTGATATACCTTAAAAATACAGCTGCTTTATTTGAGCCTTTTTATCTAAGCCGTAAGTTGCACATTTGCTTTACTCAATGGCTGCAAGGTATCCATCCATATCCTGAATTACTCTGTAGTGAACCATCCTGCCATTTCCAATTAAGAGCTAACAAAAGCACTTGTTTAATATGTCCATGTAGTATTTGGAATAAAAACAGACAAATGGTAACTACAGAAGTGTGAAAACTGCTTCGGATTTTAAAAATGTGCTCAACCAAAGATAATTTAGGCATAGACAAGTGGTAAGCTATGCCACAGGAACATTAGTTCTGACAGTCACTCCCCAACCCACAGGAAAAATCAATAGATTGAAAACTCTGTTCCTCAAATGTTCAAACAAATTAAGTGTTCAAATGTGTCACAAAATTAATCAGACTCCTGGACCTGTAATTAGAGTCAGCAGACACATTTAGAAGTTGGCTGCAGCATTTCCTACCCTGCAGTAGCAAGACAAGAGAGGGTAAGTGTTGATGATCCCCAAGTTTGGCCTTGTTTAGACAATCAAGCTGCATTTACTACTTTCCCTGAGTCCTTAATTTAAACTAATGTAATACTAAGTGTAATATCTGAGTACAACAATCCATTGTCTACTTTAGGTGAACTAGAAATCCAAGGGTGGTTCAGCCACACCTCTTTGCCAAGAAGCATGACAAAATAATGCATGGAGGGGTAAATGGAACCAGTGCCTTCACTTCCTAGAATGGGAATCAAGGAATCATAAAATAGTAGAGCTGGAAGGGGCCAAGAAGGCCACTGGGTCCAACCCCCTGCTGTTGCAGTCACCATTTCACAGCATCCCACTCAGATGACTGTCCGGGTTTTTGTTTGATTGTTTTTAATGTCTGTAGTGTGGGAGATCCCACAACCTGTCTAGGCAACTGGTTCCACTTGCTCTGACAGTGAGGAAATGTTTTCTCATATCTAGCCTGAATCTGGGTTGGTGCAGCTTGAGTTGATTGTTATGTGTCCTATACTCTGGTATCAGTGAGAAGAGATCTTGACCTTCCTCTTTGTGACAACCTTTGAGATACTTATAGAAGGATATCATGAACATACCCAATTCTCTCAGTCTCTGCTCATAGAGCAGTGTTTCCAAACCCTGGATCATTTTTGGTGCCCTCCTCTGAACCCTTTCTAATTTTTCTGAATCTTTCTTAAATCTTGGTACCCAGAATGTAAGACATTAAAACAATTTAGAAACTATTAAATATCAACACCCTTTGAAATTCTTAGCACTATAATCCAAGGTAAAAAGCCTTGCTGTTGTCCACATAATTTCTTTTTGGATAAGGCAAATTTGAGTTAACAAGTAGTTGGTTCTTTTGTAACTTTATTAACTTTCTGATTTTTCCCCATATCCTTGCTAGCAAGCTTACTAATATACAAGGGATGTGAGATCACATTCCCTTGAAAAACAAGTTTAGTCTGTGCACCCTTATCGCTACTCCTTTGTCTTGTGCTTTTAATTTCATGCCTAGCTAGAACTCTAATGGCTTCTGTAATATGATCTTTTCCTCCTGTTGTTTCCCAACATTGACAACAATCTTCATAATTGAAAAACAGGCACTGGTGTTGCTGCTCTCTTCTAGTTATACAATTGACTCTTTCCTAAAGCAGATACGCTAGTAAAATGACCACATTTTCCTTTAATTCATTATGAAAACAGCAAGATTGTGAGTCCATTTGATCACGGACATCTTGTCAAAAAAGCTGTAATTCATACACATTCACCATCACTTGTTATTTGGATAGGTAATTAGGAAGAGGGAAAAAGGGAGTTTATGTACTTCACTGCATTTTTAAAGGCATCACTTTTTTAAAGCATAAATCTGCTCCAAAGAGAAAATGGAATAATGTTTTACCAGAGGCATTTACCATTTACAACAATGGTGAAATGTATTTCTACTTCAATTATATTAATTATTTCTACAGTTGCATCTATGTAAAAAGAGACATCTATGCAAATCTGTGCCCCCTTTTTGATGATACATAAGTGGTCATTTTAAAGAGGGCTGAACTTCTCTGACCTTGATACTCTGATCGTGCTCACTGTGCAGAGAGCCTCATGCACAGGTTCCCTCTCTGTGTGATTCCGTATGGACATTCCTTGCATACATGTTATATACATCTAGATTCTATATGCATAGACACAGCTGGTGTATGAAGGTCTGCGATGGAGATAGCACACACCATCCCCTTCGACTAACATGCATTCATTGTACATAGTTAAGAGACCATGTGAAAAGGGTTTGTGTGCTATTAGTTTGCACTGCAGCTATGCATGTCATTAGAAAGGCATTCCTAAACCCAATGGAAGCAGTATTGTATTGAACGTATAGTGTACTTTTTATTTTGCTTGAAATGATATATTGTTGCTATGATGTGATGTTAGACCTTCTGCAAATTATGTTTAAGCCTTTGTTATTACCAATGCAGGTAGCACAACAGTGTGTGTGTGCACATCAGGAAACTGATGTGACGATACAAAATATCTGCATGTATAAATGTATGCTGAGAATTTGAAATAAATTAAAAGAAGTTGTGTACTCTCCTCATTTTCTTCTCCTTTGGTGCAGCCATCGAGTTTTTGGAAGCTTTTACTTTCATTTTAATTATGGAATTTTGTGTCAAACTCTGGTTAATCTTAAATTTGATTTGTTTAAAATAAACTAATATTAAACTATAATATAAACTAGTTTATGAAGCTGGTTTGTTTCCAGAAGCCATTGGTAACATTAACCTCCATGCCACAATGTCGGGAGTGGAGGGGGAGATTATTTGGAGTCCCAGATCTGTAGTCCTCCAGCCATGGACCTGGAACTTCAAATGCAGACTCTCCACCCTTAGCGCCCTGCAGCCAGTACGTGCCAGCTGCATCTCTGACTTTGGAGAGGGCTAAAGTGATGAGCCAGGATGATGGGGATAAGATGAGGGAGACAGCTTCCGCTCCATCCAAATGGTGCTCCAACCTCCTCCCATTCCCATCCACGGTGCTTCATTTACACATAGCTTTCTAGATGGAATACAGTGTTTGAGGAAGGGGTAGAGGCCAGTGCCAGTGCTACTGCCATTGCCGCTGCTGCACCCCACACTCTGTATTGCATGTAATGACTCTCTTAGGGACTGTACATACATTAAGGGCAGATGACATAGGACTGTCCCTTCCCCAGTTTCTCTGTCACAACTGCAGTGGAGGAGAGCAGAGGGGGATAGCTCATGAAGGCTGTCTGTCTCCTTAGCTAGGTTTATTACTGTCACAATAAATCATGGTTTATCATGACTTCGGAATCCAAAATCAGCCGGCATCAGACAATGATATTAGAGAAGACCGGTGCAAACATTGCTTCAGCATCTTAATTTTTGGAGACTTAGAGACAGACAGACATTATTTTAAAAGCAACATTTTTTTTATTTTTAATGCATTGGAGGCACTCTCTCTTTCCCTATAAGGGCTTGATCAAGATAACCCAAGGCAGCTTACAAATTTATCCTCCCACCACCAATCCTTTTAGGTAGGTTATGCCAAAGGTCACCCAGTGGGTATCACTGCAGAGTGGGGAGGAGAACCTGGATGTCCAGAGTTCCAGTCCAACACTCTAAGCACTATGACAGACTGGCCATGTATTGTCCCCATTCTTACCAATGTTTGGGTGCTTCAAAAGGCGACAGATTCTAGCTTCTCTTTCCAATTTCTGGTGATCTACAAGAAATAAAAAGGTCAATAACTTTAGCAAGAATAGCCACTTCTGGTTGTCTTTTATTTGTTGTGAAGAAAAAACTAAACAAAACAGAAAGTGATACAATGTGAAATATGGTCTTAAAATGGCTTTGCATAACTGAACTTGTTGAGTAAGTAAAATGACTATAACTCTGAAATCAGAGTTTATGTGCCATCCTAACTTAGAAGAATTTATTGATCTCTCAACTATTTATTTATTCTTCAAGCCTGCAGTTTCTCAACTAATTTCTAAATTAAAACTGGCATACTGTAGTGCCTAAGTGTCAGAACTGGAACACTTTCTATTTCAAATCTTGCCTCAGTTGTGAAATTAGTATCTGGCATTTATGATTTGAATGGCAAAGGTAGTCCCTTAGAGTGGCTGCTTTCTCCTGTCCATGTCTTCTCCCCTAACCTCAATTATTCTTTGGGCTGTTGGAGCTAATTTTTCAGGATTGCTAAATGTGCATAGACTCTCTTCATGATGTACCTCAGCACATATACTATGTGAACCGAGGATAGTATAGGACACTGCGTGGGTCCATTCTTTCTCCACATGATCTTAATGGCATTGAGGGAATAACACCAATTAGGGCTGATAATTTGTAGTTAGTTTGCCCACTTTGAACATCACAATAAACCAATTATTGCACATCACGGATTTAGGAGTTAACTGGACCAAGGGAAGGCAGGAAAGAGTGTGCAAACCCGGACCCTAACCTAGATAGTCAAACCTTGATACAGCCATGACTTAGACTAATCAACCTTCCCCAACCTGTTGTCCTCTAGATGCTTTATTTATATACCGTCCAATGTTTCAGCCCAACTTCCATCTGAAAGGCAGTCTTTCATTTCACTTCAAATACTGATACTATTGTTAATGGCTTGATTTGAGTAGATCCTCACAGATGTCTGGAATCAAGACTACCTGGCCCTATAAAATATGTACATTCAATCTAAGTAAATACCACGACATATAAGGAAAGACTTAAATAACTGTGAGAGCAATAGGAGGACTGTATACCCTTGACCAGCAAATACTTGTGTGTGAGTTTATACCAATGCAACACTGAATATTTAGACTTCTGCATTATTCTTTAACAACCACAATTATTGGTCTGAATTAGTCCAGCACCGCCTCCCTCCCACTTTGTTTGCAATAGAGTACATACCACATCCCAGTGTACCTAAACGCTAAATATTTCTTTTAAGGGCCAAGCTATGTTAAAAGCTATCATTAAAAGTTTCTGAATGTCATCTAGACTAAAACTGGCCTAAAAAAAAAAAAGCATAAATCTTTTGAGGTTAGGCAAAAAAACCCCCGAAGCTCTTGACTTGGGCTGCAAGCCAACATGGGCTTCTGACATTGAGCCAGCTTGGAGTATATTATAGCTAGCAAAACAAAGGCTTCAAAGAGTGCTACAATTACTACGGATGGAGGGAATACTTTACAAGTGAATTATTTTCTGAACTTTAGCCTAATTTTCTGCTTGTCTGAGAATAGCTCATGATTTCCTCTGAGTCATCTGCTATTAAGCACTCATTCAGTTTTCAGTGGAAACTGGGGAGACTCGTGCCTTACATAAGCCATGTGGCCAGCCACAGCGGCAGCAGTGATTGGCAGCTTTGCTTGAAATATCACAGGTATGCAAGCCAGGTATCTCTGCCACTTCTACAATTATTGGGTGTAGGAAATACCAGATAGGTTCTGGTTTGGTACAGGTTCTGGAAACATGGGACCCACACAGTGGTATGCTATGGTCTTGAGCCAAAACAACATTAGAGACAATTCTGTTATTTGTTTCTGTGTGGTTTCATTTTCTTTTTTTAATTTTAATGCAAAAACAGTCTAGGCAGGCTGCAAGTTCAAGTGAGGGATGGGGGAGGGGGAGCACAGAAGCTGCTTAATACTCTTTCTCTACCCTGCATTTTTCATCTCAAAAGTTTCCTGTCCATGCCTTTCCTTCACCAGCCCCTCATGAACATGGGCTTATAGTCAGTCTTTTATTTTATTTTATTTTGAAAGGAAGTATATTTAGCCTTTCAACATTTCCATCATGTGATAACAAACAACAACACCAAAGCATGCTAAAAGTTAAATAACTATGTACACAATGCTTCATGACCCTAACCCTAACCCTAACCCTGAATTGTCTTTGGAGTCTCAAGTGGACTCAGTGACTAGGAGCACCTTTTATCAGCTCTGGCTGATTCACCAATAGCAGCCATCTGGATAGGCAGAGGCTGGCCATGGTTATCAATGTTCTGGTAACCTTTCATTTGGACTATAGTAGCATGCTCTATGTGGATCTGCCTTTGAAAATGGTCCGGAAACTTCAATTGATTCAGAATAGGGTGGTGTGCCCACTAATAAGGACTGGTCCACAAGGTCATATCAAGCCAGTCATGTATAGGCTCCACTGGCTACCAGTTGAAGTCCACACCCAAGTCAAAGTGCTTCTTCTAAACAGCTTAGGACCAGGATAACTGAAGGACTGCCTGCTTCCATATGTTCTATCTATTCATTAAGATCAGCTACAGAGGTCTTCTCAGGGAACATCCTCCTAAATAAATAAGAGGGTTGCAATCAGGAGAAGGACCTTTTCATTGGTTGCACACCATCTTTGGCATATGCTTCCCAAAGAAGCATACCTGACCCCAACTTTATTATCTTTCTGGCTCCAGGCAAAACCTTTTTATTCACCAGATATTTTAAAAATTAATAGTTGTAGAATTTTATATGTTTATATGTTTATAATATTGTATCACTACTGCTGTATTGTGGAGTTAAATTTTTTATACGGAGTTATTGCTGTTTGTATTTTTTGGTGTTGTATTCAGTGTTTTGTGTTTTATCTGGGTATTTCATTGTTGTATATGGGGTTTTAATGTATGTAATCTGCCAGAGAGCCCTTTGGGCTATTGAGGCAATATATAAATGCAATAAACAAACAAACAAACAAACACAGTGAAGGTCACTGTGAGGTATTTTAGCAGCAGATAAAAGAATTTACTTTGAATTGGCATTTTCAATGTTTATATGTTTGTTTCTAAACAAGCCATGCTGCTCATAATCATTTTTTAATTGTTAAATGGTATTTTAATTATTTTAGCATAAAATACTGGCACTAAGACATTATTAATTGTTTTATGGTTGAATTAATTGGTTTTTAAAAACATTTTGTAAACCATGAGATTTTTAATGAATGACAGTATAGAAAAGTTTTAAATAAATAAATACTTTACTAGAACACTCTGCAAGATATGTTGGCATATTAAAAAGGGTAATGAAATGCCCAATTTCTTATAAATCTTGAAGGTATTCCATTGTACTACAGAGTTAGCAGGCTTATGTAATACTTATAAAGAAATCCCTGCATTAAACAATCTTAAAAACAACAACCTCTGAACAATGACATTCACTTGGAGGTTAACTTACTCATACCAAGCCTGTACTTTATCTGATTTTGACAGGATACAGATCATAAATGTCAAGTCTGGTAAAATATTTCTAGATAATGAAAAGAAAAATAAACCATGACAAGAAGGGTGAAAAATCATCCTAGGTTCCTTTATCGTTTAGCAGCACCTAACCTCCCTACCCCCTCAAGGCAGGTCAGAAAACATATTTTTCTAGTATATTTTTACTTAAGAGATCTATGTTGATTTAAAATGATTTCATTCTATTATTTTAAATATAAAAATGTTATTTACATTCTGAAAGTGCATGGCATCTGCTATCTGGTGTTTCGGGTATGGACACGGTGATGATAAGCATGGCCCTTTGTGAAAGCCAGGACTTATGCAGAGAGTCATTTAACTATGGGGAAAGGGATCTGGAGCATGACTGTGACCTCTCTTCCTTACCTTAACATAATAGCTGAAACATTGAGATAATTGGTCATTCTGAACCAGCCATCAGGATGGAAAGAGCATACTGAACCAGAGGCATACTTAGGGGTGGTCCTAGAAATGTTTTCCATCTCAGAACAAAGTCCAAAATGGAGAAGAATTCACAGCTGCTCCACCTGCTACATCTGCAGAAATTTCCCTGCCAGGCCTCATGCAGCAGTCACACTCTCTTCCCTTTCCTTGAAGTTTCAGCAACATCACACACATAAGGAAGAGGGAGGTGAGGGGATTCCCCCCTCCACTTCCTTGACACATGTGACAGTGTGCTGGAGCACATGGGATGGTGGAAGAGGTAGCGCTCGCACTGCCTTTTGCAATACTCCCTCCCCTCTCCTCTTTTTGGACCTCCAATGCTATTTCTATTTCCAGTGCTTTTTTTTTTTTTTAAGAAAAAAGGTGCCGGAACTCATGAAATTATTTACCTTGCATACGTAGTCAATCACAGTACACACACCCACACATGTCAGTTGTGTAACGAAACATAACAGTTGCCACCCACAGTAAGCTCAGTGCGCAACCACACGACCAATCACAAGCTGAGCAGCACCATCACAACCAGTGCGGACGAAGTACACACGCATCAGATTCGACACACAAGCAGCCTGCATGCACCGTTTTAATGATTTTGCCGCTGACCTGCTACGCTTGACAGGGTGATTCAAATCCACGTGGACCAAACATCAAATTTTCAAAAGTTACTTTTAAAACTTGGGAAACCTGTCGAAAAAAGGTGCCGGAACTCCGTTCCGGTGCATTCTATGACAAAAAAAGCACTGTCTATTTCTATCAACAACCCAGAAGAAGGAAAAGGAAAGGGCAAGGTGTGTTGGAGGGGAAGAAGAATGGCAAACAATGATTTTTGGAGATCAGAGATGGAGGCAGATATGCAATTCTTCTGGGTCAGGGGAAAAAAGAGAGATTTATTTGTTTATTTTATTAAATTCAGGGGAAGTGATCTTGTATAATTTCTGACATAACCCATGATGGGCTTCAAATAACTTTCACCATGTTTTACTTATCATTGTTCAATTATTTTCATCAAGTCTAAGTACGTTCTACTCACTTGTACA